AAAAGACACAGCCTTATCATTTTAATTTCACGTGATGTAGCTCTGCTGGAGTACAAAGGTACAACAGAATTTCCTGCTTCTACTTCCTTTCCCATCTAGGTTCTTCTCCCCTCCATTCCAAAGCATTGCTACTCACCAGACTTGACATTATTTGGGATAAAACGTATGTATTTTCCACTACCCTCACACAGTATTTCAGCCTGATGTTTCACTGACTATGAATGTCATCTTGTTATACTTCCACCCATATTTTCATTCTTCAAAAGTTCATTATTCACGTGAACTTAACAGCGAGAAATTTCTTAATTTCAAAAGGAGAAATGTCCATATGTGCAGCCAAATTCATATAGCTGCCAGCACACATGCTCACAACTCTGCCAAGTAGTCATGGAAAATACGACAGGATTACCTGTGAGATTAGCTGCCATCTCTTCAGCAGTCTGACACAGCCTCAGCCCTTGTTTCAGGGGACCTTCTGAGTCCACATACTGACGGCGTTTGAGGTAGCAGGACACTGCCATCTGAATCTGTTCTGTGCGTACGCGTTTCATGACCTCAAAAGAAAAGAAAGAGGTGATGAGACTCTTACAGAGTAACCTTAGATCAACTTGGACTGTAGCTGCATTAATACTGATAGAAAGCAAACATCTCCGTGTTTTCATTGCTGAAGTGTGAAACAGAACCTTCAGGGATTTGCCTCTCAGTACTATGGCCTAACTAGACATTTTGTAAACTCCTGAAGATATTTTGCTCCCTAATTATACTAATTTTACAGAGGAATCAAAAGTAGTTTTGGGGATTCTTGACTAAAACTGCAGTGGTGAACTGAAGCATTTTTGTTAAAAACAACTCATAAAAAGAGAAGGTCACTCCTCCCTGAGTTTTGACAGCAGCAGTTTGAATAATCTTCAGTCATTTTCTGGTTCCTCTGCTTGGCCAACCAACAGAAAAACCCCAAAACCAACAAACTCCAGAAGACTCAGTGGAATGAGAAATTAACACACAAAGACGGAAATTTTGGAAAGATAACGCTTTATACAGCAAATCTATCTGGGGAGTCCAAGAAGCAATAGCTTATTGGCTGAACTTAAAGGTTAGAGCCAGACTTCTGGCACTTCACTGAGATAGGTCCCCAGGAAAAAAAGAGAGAAATTAAAAGCAGAGCCTTCTATCTTTGTCACCTGCCTCGACCTATCCAGGCTTCCCTCCTACAAAAGTCAGAAACAAAAAGAATCCTTTGAAGGCTTTTTTTTAATATATATTTAGGAAGACATCCTCATAAACACCACTTGGAAGTACCTCAAAATCAAAATAAGCCCAATGCTATCTTTTAGCCCGTCTTGTAATAAAAGACTCCCAGTAAGATGAATGCAATAGCTCCCTTGCTATTTGGGTTGTTACTGACTGCACCAATCCTTCACAACAGCCATCAACTTTACACAAAAGTTTAGATAACCTAAAAGGCTTTAAACAAAGGAGAACTATGCCACAGGGTTTTTTTTTTTTTCCTATCACAGCAGCAGGTAAAGCCTGCCTGGAGATAGTTCAACACCTTACAGCCCTACTACTAATGACATGAATGTTTCCTGAGCGCTAGTGCTTCCTGGTTTGAGCAGCTAAATCTGATGAAACACAACTTCTCAGAGAGACAAGGATGCCCTTCCTCCCTTTGTAAGAACCATCATTTCTACATGGTGGACAGCTTTAAAAAGTGAATTATTTCTAATACCCATGCGCACTTTAGTGTTTATTCCACTTGTGAGAACAATAGCCCTTCTGTGAAGTTAGGTCCAAGTGGATGAGGATGCAAGGTTTTAGCAATAGCTCACTTTCAAAAGATATGCGGAATTGCAAACCCAGGTGCTTGGGTGAAAACCTTAAAAAGATTCCCACTTGTTCCCACAGGTTAACTAACTGTTGAGGGTGGGGAAGAGGCATCAACAGGTGGGAGTTTACAAAGCATTTCCAGATAGACCCATTAAAACAAAACGTTTTCAACGCCTTTTTTCACTCCGAAAGCAAACTTCCTTTTCATCTTCCCTGCAGTTAAAGAAGCTATATCTGAGACACAGTCTCAAGTGTAACACTTCAGCTGCACAAAACTGTAGGAAAGACAGAACTCTTATCAATACCATGAACAAGAGTGGAAACACGGATGGACCAGCAACTTAGCACCCTCCTAAGAAACACCTTTTACGAAGCTCCACAGTATACTGTTACCATTCTGCATTTCAGCCAGCAGCATGGACTCATGTGCACGTGATTTGCCCAGGTCCACACTCAGGCATTTATGCGATCTGTACAGTTTCTTGCTCCCCTATGCACTCCCCCCTGCAGTCACAGTAGGAGATGGTACCAGCAGTATCTCAAGGAGATTTTTTTCGTTACTGCCAGGTGACACAACAGGAACTACTTTAAGGAAATGCGTCTTCACCAAGAAACATCCATTGGCATCAGACCCACTGTCACTCATACTCTAATTTCAGCTCTTTGCTTCTTCCTTCACTTTGCCTATATACTTCACACTCAGCATTAAAAAGAACAACGCCACCGAGGCAGGAAAAGCATTCATGAAAAGTGCAAGAGCAAAACCAACACTCTTACAAATATTCCTTATTGAACCCTTTATCAAAATTAGAGATACAAACATAAAGATGGCCTACCAAAATGCCTTCAGCCTGGTTCAAGCTACGCCAATTCACAACAAGTCAATGATGCAGAATTTAAAGGCATAAAACGACAAGCCTGCCGTTTTTAACCTTCAATCAATATTAAGACTCTAGCTCTCATAACTGAAGATAATCTCCAAAATATATAACAAACTGAAAGCATATAGAGTTCCCTGTCCACAAAATGCATAAAGCTTGAAACAAGTTTTCAGAAGTCCCAACTGTCTCATTCTCCTCGAGCAGCCAAAGAGAATAATAAATACTAATGCTGTTAACTAATTCTACTGATAAGCAAAATACATAAGGAAAGAGAGAGGAAAGATCACATTGTGAGAATGCAGAGCTACAATGCAGGATCTTCAGCAGTGTTCCAAACTGGAGCACTGAAAAAAAGTTAAGATAATTTTTTCTGAGGAACCAAAACCACTGAAAAAAACCCCCAAAACAGAGCGGAGGCTAATAACACAAAACACATCGCAAATTCCTCCTTCCTGGAAAAGCTGGAAATTAGTTGTGAACTAAGTATTGGGCCAAGGAAATTATTTTCCCGCCTATGCTACATTTCGGGTACAGGTTTAGGCAGATTCCACGGCCTTGAAATAATCCCAGTACAGACACACTAAAATGAGCTCAAAAACTAGCACTGGAAACACTGCTTTTTAAGACTCATATTCCTGTCCTGACACTGGAACAAGTCTCTTTCCTCCAAAAGACTAAGACCTGTGAGCATCAGAGAGCTAAGTTAAAAAACACTCAACTTCCAAACCAATAAAAGCATACAACAAAAGCATCTTTTGAATATTCTCCAATAAGAACTCTGTCTCAGGCCTCAGTTGTGAACAGCAAAAAATAATCTTTTATCAAATCTGGGGCCTACCAACAATAATAGGCCTCAATTCTTAATTTTGTGACATTAGGATAATCTGAAATTTACAAAATTTCAGAATAAATGAGATAAGGATAAACTGATATGAAGATAACCATGAACTTAGAGCCAAGGGATGTTGCACATGCAGCAGCTGCAATTCACAAGAACAGGCAAGTAAACATGACAAGTTGACTTGGAGAGCATGGTGGTGGTGCAAAATAGGAAAACAGGATAGCAGGAACTACGGAGAACGTTTTTGCCCGAGCAGTGGCATTCACGTGAAGAGGCAGAGAAGGAACAGCTGTGATTTTAAAAGAGCATGAATCCATTTGCATATGGACCGAGATCTGGCTCACCATCCACGAATGACGCTTTGCCAATTCCACATTGTTTCCCCCCGACCCCCCCCGCGGCCCCAAGGCGATGCCAAGCAGTGTTTCACCGATGTCCTCTGCGGGACCCGCTTTCCTCCAGCCCACTTCACACCACCTCGGCTGCAGCTCCGCCACCCTTGGGCCCTTCCTGGGCCGAGCGGAGCCGCGGGACCAGGCACCGCTCGCTTTTGGGCCCTGCCGGGGGACACCAGGGCCGGGAGCCCTGCGGGGCCCCACGCCCGTCCTGGGGCTGCTCCGCGGGCCGAAGAGCGCTCGCTGAAGGGACGCCAAAGTTAAAGCCTTCTCCTGTCAATATTAGGAAAAAAAAAAAAAAAGGGGGGGAAGAAAAAAAGAAAAAGGAGAGGAAAAAAAAAAGAAAAGGGAAGAGAGATGGCGCGATAAGAAGACGCTCATTAAACCCACGCACTTTCCAAGGGAAAGAAGAATATCACGAGCAGAGCAGAGGCCCCCCCGCGACCTCCGGGCGCAGGGCACGCGCCCGGCCCCGTCCGCAGCCGGGGCTGCCCCAGGGCCGCGCCCGTGCCCGAGGTGCCCGCGCCGGCCTCCCGGGAGCCGCCGGCCAGGCCGGGCCTACGGGCCTCCGCCACGAGGCGGCCCCCGGGACGCCCGGGCCCCGCTCCCGCCGCCGACCCCGCCCCCCGAGCCCCCCGTGCGGGCCCCGGGCCGCGGCCCCGGGCCGGTCCTCACTCACTGAGCATCGCAGGCGGCGGGAGGCGGGAGGCAGGCGGGCGGGGGCCGGCGCGGCCGGGGGGCGCTGTCACTGCGCCCAGCGGCTCCGGGCGCTGCCAGCGAGCGCGCCGCCTCTGCCGCCTCCCCTGCAGGCCCGTGCCGGTGGCGCGGCCGGTGCTGCCCGGGGCCCGGCGGGCGGCGGCGGCCGCTCCATGGCCCGGCTGACACACGCCGGGGCGGGCGGGAGCGGGGCCGGGGCCGCGCAAGCGCCCTCTGGCCGCCAATGGGCGCGGGCTCCCCCCAGCGCGCCGCCTCCCGCACTCGGTGCTCGGCTGGCGCTGCTTGGCAGGGACCGGGGCCGCCGGGGCGGGCCCGGCAGTACCGGGTGCGGAAAGCGGACAGCGACGGCCCTGCGAGCGGAGGGGAAGGCGAGTGGCAGCGGGGGCTGGCGGGGGAGAGGTGGGCGCTGGGCAGCGGGGCCGTGGGCGGGCGGCTGGCGGGCGGAGGGGCGCTTGGGCCCCGAGCGGCGCCACGTGGGGAGTGCCGCGTGCGGGGCCGCTGCCCGTCCGACCGCCTTCTCCTTGCTTGGCGTGTCTTCCAGACGCGTGTCTGCCTCTTCGCTGTGCCCACGTACCGCCCCCATGGCAGCGATCTACTCCGGGATTTACCTGAAGCTGAAAAGCTCCAAGACTTCTTGGGAGGACAAACTCAAACTAGCCCGGTTCGCGTGGGTTTCTCACCAGTGCGTCCTGCCTAATAAGGAGCAAGTGAGTACATTTTAGTAGTGAACAGGGATGAAAGAAGAAAACACCGATGGGGATTGCTGCTGTGGATGAATCAGTTATTAAAATCCAGATCTAGCTTCTGGCTAACTGATAGCACTGTAAATATAGCGCTGATTTAGGATTGTGATTAGTTCTTGATTTTTGTCGTCACATGAAATGGTTTTATAACAACAATATTGCAGGTAGCTTCGGCGCAAAGACCTGCATCCGTGCAGGATGGAAGAAACTTTCATGTAGAGAGGGTGGTGCCTGTGTTCTGTCTCGCAGAGACACAAGAAATCATTGTCTTCAGAGCTGTCATTGCCATTGGTATTAATGTCCAGTACAGGATGCTCCGAAGTCAGATGCTTTTGGTCATAGTTAAGAACGTCAGGATGGGAGGACTAACTGTGGACTCTGTGTGTTCTATGGTGCTCAGAACTTGTTGTGCCTGAGCAAAGAGCACACAGTGGATTCATGGACCGCTGCTTGGAAGGTGATTTGGTTTTCTCTTATTGGAACCCAACCTGTCTCCTAAGTCTTTTGTTTTGACCCTGTTTCCTGAAGGTCTATGCAGTGTTTCCCTGGGTTAGGGGTTTCTTGTTCTATTCCTCCAACCGTGGTAGTCCTTCGGGGTCTAGGGTTTGCACATCTGAGATCTCATGTTTCAGGTTCTTGTTATTTCAGTTACTTAGAATATTAAACTTAGCCATACACCACAACTTCAGTTGTAAAACAGTAATTAGTAGATTTGAACCTTTTCCAGTTTGCACCCATCTAAATTCATAGGCCTGAATTTCTAGGCAGTGAATTTAAACATACGAAAAGGAGGATGTGAGTGGAATAGCAACTGTCAGAAAGCGAAAACCAGCTGATTCTCTGAGCACTGCTTTAAAAGACTGCATTTGCTAACCAGTATCAACTGTTAGAATCAGAATGTTGTCAGATTAAAGATGTTCACTCCTGAGAGCTGTTTTGGGATGGTACATGCAAGCACAGGTCCAACATTAGGTAATGAGTGTAAGCTCTTAGGAATTGAAGCCTTCGGGAGCAGGCTTCTCTGCTCACTCAAAGGCTATTCTGCTTGGATGTAGCACAGTTCTCAAGGCACAAATGCTGTAACTGTGGAGAGGTACTGCTTTTGTCCCGTTTTTGCTTTTTCCTGTTTTGGGTTGTTAAAGATTTCTTGTTTTTCCTTCTGTTAACAGGTTTTACTTGATTGGGTAAGCCGTACATTGGTTTCCAACTACAACAAGAAATATGAACTGGAGGATGAAGTTGTTGAAAAACTCTGGGCATATCTTGACAATGTTATTCATAGCAAAAAACTACAGGATCTCTTAAAGACTGGGAGGACAGTTGGTCTCAGTTTTGCAATTGCACAGGTAACTATAACTGTGGATATCTGGTGAAATTCTGGATAGCAATATGTATCTCTTGCAGTACTTGACTCTTCCTCATAGTGTCAGATGTTGCATGAAATATGTATTAGTCTGATAGTTTTCAGAACCTATACTGAAAGTTTTGCTATTTTTGTCCTGCAATATAGTTTGTATTTGTGCAACACTGAGGTTAAAAATGGCAGAATTAGTGACTGGCTGCAAAGGCAGTGAAAATGACTGGGAAAATCACCCATTTAGTTTTGCTCAGATTGAAGGGAAGCAAGAAAAGGTTGTCTTTACCTGTAGAAATTGAACTGTGAAGTATAGAGAATTACTTGAATGAAATCTGTACTTCAGAGATGTTACGTAGAAAGCGTGCCAAATTTAAATGTGGTGTGGATATGGAAACCTGTCTGGATGAAGATTAGGTCAGAGGTACAGGACAGAGTACCCCAAACACCAAGGACAGAGGTGGTAGAGGGTCCAGTGGGAAGAACTTCAGGGTCTGGTTTAGTCCAACAGTGTCCCGGGTGAGGACATGAACTATCCACAACAACGTGTAAGGAGACAGGTGAGGTTTTTAAGAAAATAGAGGCAGATTTGTAAATTGTTACTGAATTTGTTTGCAGATATTATCTGAAGGTGAGAAAAGGGAATGAGTGAAAAGTGGGTTGAAGGGGAAAATAACAGGGAAATACACATAAAGTTTGAGAAAAGGAAGAGAAATGCAACATTATTTCTCTAGAAATGTGTATCCCTCAAAGAGAAAAGAGAATAGTCCTTCACATTCTAGATATAAGGACCAGAAACGGTCTCATTTTCAAATATAAAGATGATATTCAGCCATGGACATTCTTACTAAATAAGCTCCCTGTATCAGAGCAGGGATGTGTATTGTGTGTGGGGTTTTTGTTGTTGAGACCATTCAAGAAGGGAAGAAATTTACTCCTACTCCATTTCTGCAGGATGAACTATTAGTATGAAGTAGGGATAGCCTTATGCTGTTCCCAGTAGCATGCATGAGGGCTTCCTTACTCATCTGGTGGTGCAAACAAATGCAAGGACAGTGGAGCTTCTAGTTTGAAACCTATGATGTGAGAGGTCCAGCAGCAGCTGCTGGCATGTCCCCCTTGCTTGCAGCCATAGCTCCCAGAAGGTGTTGTTGGTTCATTATGATGGGCTTTATTTTTCTATGCTAAATTGACTGGTTTTTGGGCTTTTGTTTTTGTTTCTTTTTTCAGGTCATAAACAAAAGATTATCAGAGGCCTACTCTGAAAAAACACAGCAGAACATTAGCACCTTGCTGAGCTGCTCCAGTGGCATCCTTTCTACTCCTTCACTGTCCATCCTTTACACAGCAAAGTGTGAGCTTTTGGTTGATCTCCTCAGCAAGCTGTCCAAGCTGGCATGCCGGCAGCTGGCTTCTGATGATGCTGTGGGCTCCCAGTTGTTCAGTGTCCTCCAGCTTGCCTTTGCTCAGTACTTACTGATCCAGAGGCAGCAAACCAACCCAAAACTTGTACTTGAGCAAGTGACAAGTCAGTTGCTTCAGCCATGTTTGCTCCTGAGGCACTTGCTGACTGTGAGGAGCTGGACGCAAGCGGATGATAACCACGTGCGTCAGCACCTGAGCAGAGAAATACAAAGCCAAATAGAAACTTTGCTACAGGTTGGGTTATTTCAGCCTGAGCTTTTCTCATCCTATAAAGAAGAGCTGCTGCCAGAACAGGAACCCCAGGAGAAGAAGAAAGGAGGTTGGAAAACTCCTTTACTGCCAGCCAACACAGTGCAGACCAAGCTGGGCAGTGACTTGTGTGAACCTGCCCTCTGTGGAGTGGTTGTGGCCAGTTCGGTGTCCCTGCTATATAAGCTCTTTCTGGACTCATACTGTAAGGCAGAAAACCACCTTGTGTGTTTCCACATGCTCAGCAGGCTTTTTGGCTGTCTCAGGCTCTCTGACCTGCAAGAGGCAGGGAGGAGCGATGTGCTCTCCCCTGTGGATTGGAGCACGGAGCTGCTTGCTCTGGAACAGCTTCTGAACTTGGTGCTTAGCAATGACATCTATAATGTCGCCAGTGACCGTATCCGGCACAAGGAGGTGCAGTTTCAGTTTTACCGGAAGCTAGCACAGATGCTGCTGACACACTCCCAAGCTTCCATCCCTGCTTGGTTCAGGTGTCTCAAACTCTTGATGGCATTAAATCACCTTATAGTAGAGCCAGACCTGGATGATTTGGTGTCGTCAGCTTGGATTGATGCCGAGGCCTTGGAGCCACGTACAAAGAAACCGCAGGAGACTCTCATCAGCACCATATTCCAGACCTACTCCAAGCTGAGGCAGTTCCCACGGCTCTTTGAAGAAGTGCTGACAGTCATTTGCCGACCAGCTGTTGATGAACTGAGGCCATCTGTCTTCTCTGCTGGCCTGACAGTAAAGCTTCGTGAGTGCCTTCTTGAACTGCCACCCAACCAGATTCTGGACATTCTGTGTCTCTTTGTGGAGAAATGCCAGACCCTTATCATTCCAGCTGTTGAAGGGTCAATTGACATGGCCTTGAAGCTGATGTCAGTATGCTCAGTGCTGCATGCTTTTCTGTTCAACATGAGGAGCCTAGATGATGTCACTCCTGCCCCTGTGGTACTTCGCACTCAGCGTTTGATGGCAAACATACAGAAGGGAATAACTCTGCCACTGATGGAGCTGCTGCAGGCTCCTAGGAGAGAGGAAGAAAAGTCAGAGCTTTGGCTAAGAAAGGCCAGTGATGCTACTCTCCTCCTTGTTTACACTTGGGTTGAGGTAGACACACTGTTTGGTGTTAGCTGCAGTAAATACGTGTCTCCAACAGCTGAAATTGCTGTTACTGAACCTGCTGCAAGGCACTGGGCCATTTCAGCTATTATGCCTGGTATGAAGGAGCAGTGTTGGAGGAGAGTTACAGAACTTGCAAGTGGTTTTGCCTCCACTAGTAAATACTGCTTAGAACTGCTCACTCTTCAGAAAATGAAGATGATGTTAATGCAGACCGAAGCTGACCTACAGGCCTTGCAGCGTGCTGCAGCTTTCATCTTGGAGTCTGGAAGATCTGCCACGAGCAGAAGAGAATCTGAGCCGTGGGATGGAGATATCAGCGCGATAACTGAACTTAGCTACCCCACAGCACACTGGCACCTTGTCATGTCCAACCTGACCATCCTGTTGCCCTATATTTCCTTAAAAGATGTAGAGTACATTGCAAAAGTGCTTCTAGAGACGTTGATGTTGGCTGAAGCTCAGGAGGCTGCCACGGACCAGGAGCCTTCCATCAGCATTGGAAAGATATCCCTTGGTTTTATCCACAGCTCTCTTCTACCAGAAATGAAGATCCTGCACTGTGCTTTTCTGACCCATCTTATTCATCAATTTGCTATGGTGCTGCCCACTGCTACCAGGGATTCAGTAGATCTGCCACTTCAGCAGCTGTCTGTGACTAATGTTCCTTGGCATGAAGAAATTCTGTCTCCTTGCAAAATCATTGACCCGTTGGAAGTACCATCAGAAAAACTGCTGAAGGATGAGCTGAGCTTGTCTTGGAGAACACTGGAGAAGGTTGCCCAATGTGTAGTATTGTTAGCAAAAAATGGCTGCCCTGTCACACTGAAAGAACGTCAGCTACAAAGATGCCTGGGTTTGCTAAAAATTGTTTCTCTCCTGAAATTAGACAGTTTTCTTCCCTCTGACTGTACTCGATGTTTTCTGGTGCTGCTGTCCCTGCTAGTTAATACCAAGGCTAGTGTCTCTTGCAGCAAGTTGTTACTGCTGGAGGTTTTAAGGACTTGCTTCCACCTCCTGAGATGCCTGCAAGCTGGCAGGAATGCCAACTCTGTTTTCAAGGTGTTACATGCCAGCGATGTTCTTGAGGCTGTCATGACCTCCCAGCTTACAGCTAGCAAATTCTTCACTGATGTCTTGACTGTTCCTGTTTGGACACAATACGTCAAGGAAGTCCAAGAGGTTTTGGAAAACTTTCTTCAGATGATTATTGAAAAAAGACAAAGTGTGAAGCGCAACTTGGAAAAGTTCATGTCTTTCCTGGTGAGCTGCAGGCCAGACACAGGTGCAGCCAAAAGCAAAGACTGGAAAAACTGGAATCCCGCAGCTGAGCAGTTACTGCTTACAACATTCACCACACTCTGTCGCGTTGTCACACTGCACCTCCAGCAGCTGCCAGAAAATAAGCTGCATACTGCAGATGTGTTCTCTGCTGTGTTGGAACCACTAGTTTTGCAGATGGTCAGAACTGTTGAACATGGTCTTCAGACTAACACCCCAAACCAGCTTTTGCCTTTAGCATTCATACCATCTGTCACTACTCTCCTCAAAGCAGATCTGAGCCGTCCTGTCAGGGACTGGCAGAAAGAGCCCAGTGGGTTTTTGGAGCAGCCCCGTATTAAACTGTACCAAGAGTTTTACTCTCAGATACTGAAAGAGCTGCCCTGTGCAGGGAGTAATCTGCAGTTCCTTCAGCTTGCTTTGCAGTTCCTGACCATCTTCTGCTCCGTGCCAGAGCTGTATCCTGGAAAAGAAACTGCAGTCATGGTTGTTTTTGCTATAAAAAAGCTTCTCTCTGGTATGGAAACTTTCTCCACCTCCTTTGCTCATTTTGCGAGTTAAAAGCCATTTAGCAAAGCTTTTTTATAAGTCTGTATTTATTGGCTTGTGTTAATACAGCAGGCTATACTTTTTTAAATGCATAACAGGGAAAATTTCAAGGAGGCAATATTGTGGTACGTGGACCACAGCCACCGTCTAGTTTGGTAATGATCTTCTAATGGATGTTAACATCTTAATGTAAGTTGAGGTTCTGAGTTACTCATCCCTGGTAGAACATTTTGAAAGTAACTGGAACATGATAATACTTCTGGAGATAGGGCTGAAGTGCAGTGTCCTGCTTGTGTAATTCATATATAGGCACCATTGAAGCAGCTGATTTGCACCAGGTCAGCTCTTAAGAGCAAAATACTCATCTACTTTTGTATCTGGTAGGTGAGTTTACAGAGCAGTGGAAATTACCTGTCTGTTAAGGATGCTGAACACTGTGTGGTAATTCTGATAAATTCTGTGGAATATTGGCAGGTTGGTTCCTTTATCCTCATCAAATAAAGAGCCAGGGCTGGAGATTACGTGAAAAACCTCTGTTGCCAGGTGTGGGACCTAATAGCTCTTTTATATTGTCTCATTCAGAAAGAGAGATGAACACAGAGCAGGCATAAGTGTTCTCTTTGACTTCTTCAAACTGCTGGAATTTGTCAAACTTATTACTGGCATGGTCTGGTACAGTGGTCTCCAAACATTTTTGATTGCACACACCTATCATTAAAAAAACTTAAGAAATTGAACACACAGCCCGAATATAATTTACTTATAAATTATACACGTGCTACTCCATTATGTACATCACAAAGCACACATAGAGAAAATCTTTTAAAAGAATGCAATAAAGATGAAATAAGCACTATTTTAAATATCTTTTTATATTTGCTAAAGATATTTTTTTAATATTTCCCGCACCCCAGTGATTTGTCTTGCACATACCCTGCTTTGGAGACTACTGTTCAAGTGAACTACAGTTGTGATCTCAGTATTTGTATTGCCATTAAGTAGTCATAAAAAAAGCTCTGTGCTTTGTGATGGATCTCTGGCCACCATTTGTAGAAAAGACCTGTGGCTTGTTTAGCCTGCTCCCTTGGCTTGTGCAGCTGCTTTGGTGTAGTCTTTTTGTATTATTGTAGATTTTTTACTGCTATGATGACTGTTCTGTGAACCTGAGGGTAGGATATACTTGAGATTATCAAGTCATTGCATTAATGGGGAAAGGTAAGGAGAAAGTATCAAGCCCTCTATGTATTTGAGTTAAAAAAGTATCCCCAGAGCTCTTTTATTTTCAGTTTGTCCTATTCTGCAGAAATCCTTGTCTTGGGAATTGATTGCTTTTGTCTCTTGAATATGCAGGTCCTGCAATTACAACCCAGGTGATCCGAAGTATGGAGATGGAGCTGACAGAGGTGCTTGTCAAGGTGCTGGGAAACTGCTCTGCCGAGGAGTTTTATGCCATAATGAGGCTGGTGCTGCAAGGACTGGAAGTGAAGAATGTTTGGCAGCAGAAGGCTAAAGTAAGGCGTGAGCTTAGTGTATTGTCAACTTCCTTCTGCCATCTGCTGTATCTTGAAAAAAGGTTGTTGGCTGAATGACATTTGTTAAATATTTTTTTCTTCTTCCTGCTCTATGTTCATTGGTCAGGTCAAATTAATTTACATGGATAAGGGCTTGGTGACTGCTGTATATGTTTTGTATATAAATTGAGAGGTGAAAAGATCATGCAAACCTACTCAAAAAACTTTCTGTCCAGCTTAAGGGCTCAGCAGTCTCGATTCCATGTATTGACAACAGAAATCACACAGCTGTGGTGTTACAGGCCATGCTGAAAGCTCTTTCCTACTTGCTGCTCAGACCTCTGCACAACAGATACCAGCAGTCAGTGTTTGTCTGTGACTCTTCTTTATAAGGTTAAAGGCACTTTTAGAAGTGCTGGCATTTTTAAGTAAAACCAAAACTGCACTTACGCTTTTGGTACTTGTTGCTCTGAAGACTATTCAGCAATAACCAAATAGCACTCAGTATCTTTTAAAATTCTGTTTCCTTCTTCAGAGCAGCTTAAGCACCAGTGGTGATGTATGGAACACTTTTGGCAACAAAATCAACTGTATGCTCCATAGAAAGCCCAATGACTTGAGAATAACACTTGGATTAAACTTGCAGGGTTGTTCAGCCCTATCTTATTTATCAGAAAGAGACGTGGATGTGCTGTATCAATTCTTGATGCATCTTTTTGAAAGTGTATCTGAAATTCCTGAACTGCATAGATAATTCCTGCCACCTGAATGTAGCTTGCAATATGCTTCTTTTATCAGTCTGTATAAACAACTAGCAAGTAAAAAAAACCCTGCTGCCAAAAGCAGTATTCTTAATTTATAGTTTTCTGGTATCCTTGTATTGCCTCTGCTTCCCTCTGTCATCTAGTGGCAGTTGTATGAGAAGGCTTTCCTTTCTTGAAATTCACGTAAGCCTTTTTGTGCAGTAAGTTGATTGTGGAGCAAATGTGGCATAAAGTACATTTGGGTTAGTGCTGCTCAGTGCATTGAATTCTGTTGAGCTGCTGCTTACTTCACGATTTCCAAAGAGCAGTATTGGTGGGAGGCCTTTCATGTGTCAAGGCTCTGGTAACGCTCAAAAGTGTCACTGGTCTTGAAAGGGCTCTTCTGTACTTGAAAGGAGCCAGTGTGCCTTGTACCCCTGACTGATGATCTGTCTGCTTTCTGCAGGAAGTATTGTCAGCTGTTATGCTAACCAAATTGTTGCTCAGCTGTCCATTAAGTGGAGACAAAGAGAAAGCTTTCTGGTTTGCCAGCCCACAGATAATCACAGCTTTAGCTGTAAGTATCTCTTTACTGTAACTTCATTACCTACCCTTCCTATCTGGTAGAGTCTCTAGCGATGCACAGAAGCACATAGGAACAAAACCTAAACAAATCCATGCCAGATTCATCTGAACATTTTTGTCTAGACCCTTTTTCTCCTCCTTCCTCAAGTAAATCTCCTCCTATGAGTGCAGTGTGCATGTCATCCATTTCTTATACACAGTAATTTTATGGAACTACACAATGTAATATGGAGCTTGGGAGAAACTTCTTAGACTGCAGGGTAGAGTCTGTCTCCTTTCCTTCCTTCTGCCCAAAGGAGAAGATAACCATGTTATCTTGCAGCAGAAGCCAACAGCAGTAAAACAAAATTTAAAAAGTGCTTACAGAAAAAAGTAATTATATAAATTCACTGAATTATGAAAGAGAAACTAATCAAACCCAAGTTTCCAGCCCTTCATTTGTACAGCATATAAACCTAGTGATGTAGGTTTTTCTTCTCTTGGGATGATATCTCTAGGCGAGAATTTATCAGAGGTTGGTTCTGCAGTGCCTGGGAATCATAAGCTTTCAGTTTCTGCCCTTTTTGGTTTGTCTGCATGCATGGAAAAGAATGAACTGCATCATTGGATTCGTGTGAAGAGGTGCAAAGAGGTGCTGGTTTCCGGGGGGCTGGGGAATAGTTGCTATTCCAGTTAATGCTCAGAGCAGTGTTTGTTTGAAATGCATCATATGCATCCTGACACAGGGCACAATTGCTTGAAAGTGACTCAGGTGCAGGAGTCTGTCTGCCAGTCCAGGTCTAGTTCTATTGACTCCAGTCAGAGCCTTAGGGTTCTCTGGTGTTCCACCACTAATGATAAGTGGCTAATGCATTTCTTATTGTCTGTTTCCTGTCTTGTAGCTGCAAACCAAAGAAGCCTGTCAGGACCAGTCACTGATTTCCATCATAGTTATACCTATTCTAGAGACTGTAGCAGCTCTTCTAAGGCAGGGAGAAGGAGTTCTTGTGAATCCACATCATGTTTCATTGGCATTCAGCATTCTTCTAACAGTCCCTCTGGATCATCTGAAGACAGAAGACTATCATGGTGTCTTCCTGGGGATCCATGAAGTGCTCTTCTCTATTGTGCAGTGTCATCCAAAGGTATATCTGTGAGGGACTGGGAGAAGGGGGAAAAGTTTGGAAGAGCAAATATATTAGTGATAGAAATTTTTAAAATATGGTTTGAAATATTTTGTCTTGATAGTATGAAAGTGCATTGTACTGTTTGTCATTTGAAAGGCTGTGAATCTCAAAAGCACATAATTTCAGATGTTCTGCTTTGCTTGTTTTTTCATTGTTGTTCTTTGGCAGGGGATTGCTTATGAACACCTGGTGCTAGGTTAGGAAAAAATGTTGCCCTTTTCTGTGATTGATTCTAGAAGCACAAATGGCTCAGGATGCAGAATGAAAATATAGTCTCTACTCTCCACCCCCTCTGCTATGTAATCTCAGATGTTTTTATTTCATGTCTTTTTCAGGTGCTGTTGAAAGCAGCACCATCTTTTCTGTGCAGTTTCCATCGTCTGGTTGTTTCTGTCATGCATGAAGGCCGTCAGAAAGGAGACAGAGGTACCATATCTTTTCCACCTTTGCATTATACATATATATATATATATATATATACTCTAGAAGAGGAGATACTGAACAGGGCAAAGTTCTCAAAACCTAGCTGTGGCATTGAAACTGTCAGCCCTATCTGTCCTTTATAAAAAGCTGGGGATGAGCTTTGTAGTGTTGTGGGCTTAGGAAGATAACTGGGGCTCCCGGGGAGCTGCATGCAGACAGCATTGCTTCTGGTGAATAAGTTATTCTTCACTGACTGGCTGGCAAGTAGGCAGGAAGCAGTAAGGCTTGCTGTGCCCAATTTCTGCTCTACCTATCAACCTCTGTGTCTGCAAGCATGGTGGCTGTGAGCTCCACATGATTCATGCTAATATGTGTGAGTTGTAATCCCAAATGGATGCTGCTAAATGGAATTTCTTGAGATTGGACTATGTTTACTACAGAGCTGAGTTGTTGTCACCATTCTATGCTAAGTATAAGAACTCTATGTGTATCTGAAGCATCAGTTAGGATTAGATGATAAATCTGTATGGTCAAGGAATTGGAATAAATGTAATTAAAAATCCTAAGAGGAAGGGGGAAAAGAAGACTTCTTACTGTAAGTTATTAAAGAATTTACATAGTCGAAGTAGACAAGTCAGAGATGTCCACAATGATTAAGGTGGTCAGTACACAAATACCCTGTCACTAATAGCTGAGAGTTTTGAGACAAGTTGACTTCATGGTCTGAAACTGATTGTATCTCAGCTTTCTGCTGATGTCCTACAGCCTGTGCCATGTTCAGATTTATCTCAGCTGATATGTTGCCCACAGCTATGGGCAAATATGTGTATGTATTGTAGAGGAATATATTGTAGAGTAGTATATTAGCTGAGGCTCAGCGATAGAGGAAATGGTATGTTAAACTGGTGCCAGATTTGGAGAATATTCTTGCTTCTGCAATATGTTTACATAAGGAAATCATCACAGGAAGCTTACAGGTACATGGCATCCTCAAGCTGAAAAATGATGCTGTTTATTTTGGCAAGATTGTCTGTTTTTGTAACAGATAACATGAAAGTAATTTCTGGATTTCCCTTCTCCCTTGTTTATACTAGCTCTCTTCATTCTCTTCCTAGTGAGTTAATTCTCAGCTGATCTCACTAGTCTCAATTTAAATATCTCCAGTGATGTAGCTTTTGCTGCTATTTTCCACATAATAGATCTCATCAGAAAGCTTTCTTACTATACTGTTTCTAAGAAATGTCTTCTCATTTTCTCTAGGTAGGGAATACAATTTTCTTGTCTCCTTGTTCTCTCCTCCACAGTGCTAGTTGAGACTGAATTGTGGAAGGGACCTTCACTGCTGTTTTGAGCACTTCGACATCTATAACAAGTAATTTTTGTCTTGCAGTGCACATGAAATTGGCATAAGTGTGCTCTTGCAAAATGGCCATTCTAAGAGATGTATTCTGTATTGTGGGGGGCCTCTAGCTGTGGCTTGATAGGAAAAGATGACAAAATAGGCAAGCTGTTCTTGGCCTCATGTAGTTCAGGGATCATGGAAGGCTGATTCCTTGGGCTTTTTTCCCTAATGCTTTTAAGCCTCAAATGCCAGGGTGCATCTCACTTTGTGTTTTAGGCAACATGGAAGAGTTTGAAATGATACTGAAATGTGCACACTTGGTGGAACGGATGTATACTCATATTGCTGCAGAAATGGAGAACTTCACTGTGTTTTCTGCTTTCATGGTGGCTCAGTATGTGACTGAATTGCAGAAGGTATGTTCTCATTCATCTTGAAAATGCCTTAGTATTGTGCTAGATTTGGAGTTTCTGTTCCAAAGGCAACTCTGTTAAATTTTGAAAATTTGCGAAGTTACAGAAGTTGTTATGGTCATGGAGGTGCAGGTTTGGTCCAGGTTGTTATATTATGCAAGAGTTCCTGAGAATCATTCTTACCAACTCCTGGAAATTTTTCTAAAGGTGTGGGCTGTGGTTTTTTTCTTTTAAAGTAAAATAATGCAGCGCCCAGGTACAAAGCTTCTTTTCTTTAGTGCAGTGTTGGGTGTTGCTTTTCTTCATAGAATCGTAGGATGGTTTGGATTAAAAGGTTGAAAGATAACCTTTAAAGGTCATCTAGTCCAAGTCCTCTACAATGACCAGGGACATCTTGAAATAGATCAGCCTACTCACAGCCACATCCAACCTGGCCTTGGATATTTCCAGGGATGAGATATCCACCACTTCTCTGGGCAACCTGTTCCAGGTTCCACCATTGTTAAAAATATCTTCCTTATACATCCCAAATACTCTCAGTTGTCCAGGACTGATAGCAGTTAAGGCCCCATCTGGCAAAGTAATGGTGGATGATTCTCCTGGAAAGTATCTTTTAATATGGTCTAAATGATTAAGTGAACGGAAAAAATGTTACCAAGGCAAGAATTGTTAGTTTTTCAGTAATTCTCCTTCTGTACCAAAGATACCATTCTGATTCTTACTGAAAGCAACTGCTTCTGCTCTTATGGATGCCAGAGCCAGATTGGTGTTTTCTCTCATCCAAAAGTAACTTCAGCTTGTCATTTTCTTCAGCCCAATAGATTTAGATTTCACCAGGGTTTGAATGCTGCTTGTGGTGAAAGTACCTGCAAACTGATTATTTGTGATTCTGGCCTGGGCATGGGCTGAAATTTAGTCTTTGTTTTTCGGCCCTCTTAAAAAAAACCCAAACCTAATGGTGCTATGTTTCTGAAGGATTGAGGTGTAACCAGTGTAACTAAACATGAAGGTTATTACAGAGGTTAAACTTTTCTGCCTTCTCTGTTGCCTGTCTTTTTTATTTTTTCTTTTTTTGGGGGAAGGAGGGGTGGGGACCAAAACAATGGGAGATGTCAGATTTTAGCCATATTATTTAGTGTTAGTTGGTTGTTGTTTACATAGGGAACGTAGCAGTTCATCAAAGGGAAAATTGCTGTTAAGATGACTTCTATTCCCTTTAATCATCTGTAAATTCCGTAATTTGGTCATCACTGAATGCAAGTCTGAAAGCCTGACTTGAATTGTCAAACGACCTTTTTTAATTTAAAGGACACTTGTCTCAGTGTTAGCAGGAGTACACAGTCTCATGAGACTTCTAGGAAAGTTTTGTGCAAGATGTTCACTGGGAAATGGAAAGTGATGGATGATAGCTGAAACCACAGATCAGTAATGTATGCATGGAACCTTTGAGTGTGGAAGGGGGAATTGGTGTAGTGAGCCACCAGACACTGTGGTGAAGGAGTGTTTTCTGTCTGACAGAATAGATAGATCACAAGTAGGCGATGATTTATTTGCTCATTAGACTGCTGGGAATTGATGGATATCAGGGGAAAGGGGGGCCTCAGATGCCTGTCTTAAATGGGGCATGTACACATCTTTCTTGTTGCTCTGCAGAGGGAGAGAAAAACTCTTTTAATCATTCATCTCTTCCAAGTCAGGATCAGTGGCTTTCTTCCTGTGATATGAAGACCCTGAGGGTCCATCAAAGATAACGGAGAAAAACTTGTTGGTAGATATAAGTCTTTATATAGGCATCTGCACATTTTACTGGAACCCTTTTAAGGGTTGGTGAACTAGAACTGATGAAAACTACTGGCCTAAGCAGTCACTTACCCTAAAGTGGTTGTGTAACAGCTCCCTCAGTGCTTCCTCTTTATACCACGAATTATTTTGTATTAATCTAGAAAGATTCCTTAGTGGAGTGGGTGGCATCTCTTTCTTACTGTTGACAGTGCTTTCTGCTTGTTGCCTGTGAGCTGTTGCTTAATTCAGCAATAGTGAAATACCTCTTCACACATTTAATGTCTCACATCAAGAGCTCTATAATGCTTGACAAATTGGTTGTGCTAACTGTATAGACCATAAACCACTTACAAGTATAATTAACTGCCAGCCAGTAGTGGCAGCTGTTTAAATCTTTGGTTCTGCTTCCCATGGTGTTATTGGTGTTTATAGGAAACTGCAAAGCAAGAATGGCCCAAATAAGGCATGGGTCCAAATGAATTTGTGATGTGAGGGATGCAGTTCCATTAACTGCAGCTCTGAGATAGCTGCTTGTCCCAAGTGGGCCATCTGGTCCATATTGTCAATAGCTGCGGGTTTTCCTGTCCTTGTTCTCTGCAGTCATTTCTCTGAGAATCCAGCCCAGTGCATTCACTGGGAGCTGTGATGCTCAGCTGTTCTCCAACTATTGCACAGTGTAGGGAGAAATAACATCTATTGTAAAGAAACCAATTGGTCAACTAGCAGAGAAGGGAAAAATTACAACCTCTTGGACAAGCAAACTCTTCAGGGTCACAGATCTGAAGGAAGTCTTATGTACCTTAATGTTCTCTATATGTTTTTCCCTGCTATGTTAGTGGATCTAACAAAACATTTTAGCTGTTCCACATTTAGGGCAGAAAGAGAGCAGGAGCCTGTCACACTGATGAGGAGTGCACTTCATTAGTAGAAAGTTTATTAGTTGCCTAAGGAAGAAAGAAGCCTGAATTTTAATGACAGCTTTTTATATAATTTTCATTAGGCCTGGAGTGCAGAGGCTCACATCTGGAGGCATAAAGCTAATTTTGGGATTCAGCAAAGATAAGACATGGTTCTGCAGCAAAAATAATATGATGATGCCAGAGGCCAGCACTGTCTTGGGCAGTGAAGTATTTAGCAAGTGATTTGTGAGCGCAGGACAAATTTCAATTAGCCTAGAGCAGCAGAGGACTCCAGAGTCAGCACTGATGTTCCTTGTTGTTAGTGGCAGTCCTGCTGATTGTGGGGTTGAGCAGAGGTAATGTTGGGAGCAGGGTGCCGAGTCCTGAGTCATTTCTTGTATTCCTCCAACTTTCTGCATGACTTCTGGCAAGGTACCTGATTCCTGGTGTTAAAACAGATTGAGGAAATACACATCTCCTGAGAGTTTTGAAAGCTTCTTTTATTAAGGCTTGCACATTGAAGCACTCAGAAAAAAAAAGTTAGATAAATATGAAATTGTTAAGTGATAAATTAAAATTGTTTGACTACCCAATGTAAATGAGAGAACAGCCTAAAGGAGGTGCTCATCTGAAACTGACTTAATAGCACACAGCCTATAGGAGACATACAGAATCTACTGAAATGTGTAATCCAAGGCAAGTATTTTATGGTTTTTTAAATTAGAGTTGTTGTGCTGAGGAGTGTCCATGTGATTCCAGGATGATTAGTGTCTTTGCCACCGCACCAATGTGTATAGTACTCCTGTGGATTTTACTGCAAGGGCTTTGCTTGTTCTGCAAAGCATGTTTGCAGAATTCAGGAAAATACTGCACAAGTCAAAATCTTGGATTTTATCTAATGGGCTGTTACAGATGGTCTGATGTAAAGGATATAGTTGTCAGTATTTAATGTACACTGACTGTGGAAACGGTGTTTTCTTGCCTTTCTGTCTTCAAGTTTAAGGCAATTTTGTTCTTTTTGTAGGTGACTCTGCACCCAGCTGTGAAGGCACATCTCACAGAAGGAATATATCACATCTTTGACCTTTGCATTGAACGGGACATCAAGTTCTTAAATGCATCGCTCCCAGCAGGCGTGAGGGAGGTCTTTAAGGATCTGTATAATGATTACAACCACTACCACAAAGCAAAAAAGCACGGGGAGAAAAAATACACTGCATGATGAATCTTGCCTGGTGCTGCGTGATCAGCTGTGAATTGATCTTGCAGTGCTCAGAAGATGCTCACTTGCTCTTTAGTTTGGGATGACGAGTAAGATTGAACCTGAGGAAGATCCTAAACATGGATTGCATTTTTCCCTGTACAGCCAGCCTTCATAATGGGGAAAGGGGGAACTGGGAAGGGAGGATGTGCTGTGCTGGTGGTTCTGGTCCTGTGTTGTGCCACAAATGGCAGAATTGCTGGGCCTCTGCTGGCCCCTGGTGAACTCTCTGGGAGCCTTGGGTCACTCACTGCAATTTGGCAGCAGATGTCAGGCTTCAGGCTTTGGCACATCATGGTGCTTTCCTGTGGAAGCAATAGTCTGGTCTAAAAGCCAGACTGCTTTTTTTACATGCTTTTGCTTTTGCTTACATGGTAAGCAGAATTAAAGCAGTTGAAGTGCTTATTTTTGTACCCTGTTATTTTACATTTTATAACTGAAGAAATTTGTCAATGTTACACAGCCGTACAGTAGTGCAAACCTGCAGAAGTAACAGTAAAAAATTTGAAAGATTGTATCTCTTTGCTTGATTGGTTCTGCTGTCCAGTCCAGCCCTGGGCAACCTATTGGTCTGACCTATTGAATTTCCTTCCCAATTGTATTATCCTCTGATCTCATGATAATCAAAAAGACTGACTACCTGGAGCTCTGGTCGATTTACTGTCATTAAGCAATTACACTTAGTCATCTGAGCTGTCGTCACTCTCAGTGTACAGTTTTAGCTAGTGACAAATGTTAATTACCACTGTTACTGTTTGAGACCCTTCTTGGTCAAAGCTGAGCCTTGTGGCTTTGCATTCACTCTAGGTTAAGAGAATGCCCTTGACTTCTTTCAGCTCAGCTTAGCTTCTGACAGGGAGCTTTATCAAGTTTTATCAAATAGCTCCCTTTCATTAGCTAAATGACAAGTTTATTTTTTTTTAAATGATGCATACTAAAGATCTAAATTTTTATGTAAGTGATAAAACAGTTTTCACACGTACATGTAGGTAGTAGAAAGAACTCAATACTCTCATGTGTTTATCTGCTTTAATCTATAGATAGGGAGTGGGCAGAGGGAGACTGGAATGTGGCTTACCACTTTTCTGGGTCCATCTGCCTCATGGCAAGGTCCAAAGGATGAAGTTTGTCTGGGGCAAAATACTCCATGTGGCTCAGATGAGGGAGGTCATCGGGACTTGCTAAACGTCATCCTTTGGACTGGAGATGACCCTCCTCTCATCCTGAAAAAGCATTTTGGAGGGCTTTGAAACTGTGCAAGCACTGTTCAGAAGTAGTAGTGCTATGTTTTTTATACTGTTCTAGTTGTAAATGCAAACCACAGTGGCATATAGGCTGCCATGAAGCAAGTTAACTCTATCCAAGCTAGATCCTGTGCGCCACTGGCCACTTCTGTACTTTATTTCGTGTGGGCCAGCAATGGGAAGGGGAATTACTTCTGCCCCACCAGGAAGTGGGACAGTGACATAAGTCGCAGAAGGGAAACGTGGGAGCTGGAGACATCCAAAGGGGCACCAAAGAGGGCAGGTCTCCAGGGTGGAGACAGTTAATACACTGGAGAACGAAGGAAGGTTTTGAGCAGTGGGAGAGGATGTGGAAAGAACAGCAGAAAAAAAGAGCTGGGTTTGGAGCGGGGGAGGAAGGAAGTGAGGGAGGAAGGAAGTGAGGTAGCATCTCTGGCGTATAAGTGTCAAGGCTCCCCTGATGCAGCCATATGGTGCAAGCCACACACAGAGCTCAAAAGCTTCTGAGCAGACCACAGTAAATAACATTAGCCAAAGGAGGTAAACTAGCTGAGCTGAGATCAGTTTTATTTCATTAATACTGACTTCTAAAATGTTACCAATTTTAACTTCTTGGCTTGGAAATGAAAATGTGTAACTGACTAAGATGTACAGGGGTGATGAAATAACAAACCCCCACTGTCAAAAGGGCACAGTGCTTGAATGAATGAAAATCTGAAATCCTGCCACAATTAAACCTTTATTTCAAACACCCCGTGCAACTGCCACTTATCCCACAACCCCCCTCCTCCATGCAAAGCAGTGGAGTTCTGAAGCACAAAGCAGCGTTTCTGTAGAAGTAACACGTTTCTGTAGAAGTGACAGAGGGGTTAAAAGGAAGGCTGTCTTTCACTTGCTAATCCCAGGTCTTTGTCCAAAAACTGCTCCGGATTTTTTTTTTTTTTTTTTTAGCTAGAATAAATTAAATCACTGGCAGCGGACCACCTGCTGAGAAAGCAGGCTTTGTACTGGAGTGCATTCCCACGTGGGTGCAGTTTTCCTCTGTTGTCACACGATGGGGCCATCCTGCAAAGGTACAAAGCACCCTTGTGCCGTCTGACATCCGTTTTGGAGCCCTTCCTCCTAGGCTGGGTTAGTCTACGAGCTCTGAACATCAGGAAGGTGAAGGGTTTGGAAGAAACACCATCTCAGGGCTCAATGCCAGGGATCACGACCTTTGTTTCAATGGGGTGTCGCTTTGTGCGAGTGAATCTCCGGGCCTTAGAGGCGTCTGCCACAGATATTCTTGGCCAAATTTCCAATTGTTGATGCAGCACATCTCTTCCGAGGGCTTTCCTTGCTGCAGCATGGACAGAAATTCCTCCTGTAGGCAGAACTTGGAGGCTGGCATCTCAGGTTCCTGCTGGCTGTGCCACTGGCTCAGCCTGCGACTCTGTGTGTGATGTTTTTTACTGGTGCATGGGCAGTGCCCGAGTCTGCTGTGCCAAAAACTGGCTCGAATAGCAAGAGACAGGAAAGGCAAGAAGAACAGTCAAGACCAACAAAAATCACGCTGCGTTTATTTACCCTTCATTTTTGTGTAGCTGCTGTGAAAATCAGCTGATTTTTCTACTTACCTGGTGGTGGGGTTTAATACTTGATTTACTTTGCAATTGTGGATAGAAATGTCAAAAATTTAAGATGTTAGAAATTGTGTTACTTATTAAAAAATTATTTTCTTGCTCATACCTTTTGGGAAGAGACTGTACTGTGTACTTTCCTTCAAGCTTGAAATGAATCAGTAGCTTCCTATTTGTTTACTTGATGCAGTTCAGAGCTGGATAACAGAAAGCTCCTTCCAAAGCTACCTTTATGGGTTAAAACATAATAATTTGAATAAAGGAGTACTTTGACAGATTTCTATAGCATTATTACTGAAGCGTTAAATGTCTCCAGTGACACAGTTTGCTGAACTGAGTGGGGAAGTGAACACCTGGGACAGGAGAGCCAAGCTGCAAGAAGACCTGGATAGGCTGGAAGGCTGGGCTGACAGAATCTTGTGAAGTTCAACAAAGACAAACATAGGGTCTTGCACCTGGGAAAACATAATTCAAGAGTCCAGTACAAGCTGGGATTTGCCCATGAGGGGTGCAGCTCTGTGGTAAGGAAACTGTGGGTCCCAATGAATAAAAAGCTCAGTATGAGTGAACGTGGGCTTCTGCAGCAAAGAAATCCAATGAGATAGTCAATCCCATCAACAAGGGCATCACCACCAGAGAGAAAGAAGTCATTATCCCACTCTATTCAGTGCTTGTCAGGCCACACCAGGAATAATGTCATCAATTTTATTCCCCCCTATGCAAAAGAGATGTGGACAGGCTGGAGAAGGTCCAGGGAAAGGTCGCAGTGATAATCAAAGGACTGGGAAGCTTTCCATGGGAAGAAAGGCTGAGACAACTGGGTTTGTTTCGCCTTGAGAAAATAAGGTTTAGAGGGAGACTTATCACTGTGTTCCTGTATTTAAAGGGTGGCTACCAAGAAGATGAAGACTCCCTTTTGACAAGGAATCACATGGAAAACACAAAGGTTAATGGTAAAACTGGGGAAATTCCAATCGGACACAAGAGGAACATTTTTCACAGAGAGAACAATTGGCCATTGGAGTAATCTCCCCAGGGAAGTAGTGGATTCCTCAACACAGAACAATTTTTTTTCTTCCAGTTAAATGACTGCTTGATTTTTTTTCAATGAGAAACATGCAGAAGTGCCATTGTAGGCAGTACTGACATTTGCTGCTGAATGATCAGTGATGTATTCTGCAAGCAGTCAAAATTTCCAAAAAGGAAGAGGCTTCTGTTATTGTACCTACCCAGTAATATTTATGTCACAGACAAGCAGAAGTGAAACCTGACTTGCTCTGGAGTGGTACTGATTTGTATTCACATACCTTTTAAAAAAAATATGAAAGTTTTTTTTTTTGTTTTTTTGTTTGACTTTAAAGTCTGGAAAATCTGTGGAAGTGTGTCCCTGTGACCTTCTCAGAAGTTTTAGTCTAGGAGAGCCCTCTAGCAAACCCTTTGGCAGTTCTTTAAGAGAATCTGGGAAGAATAAATCAATGCCCTCCAAGTGACTAAGCTGTATTGCCATCCCTTTACTTCCAAAGAAGGATGCTGACATTTTTGTACCTATTACTGAAGATGGTAGCAAACAAAAATGACCAAATCAATTTTATCTTATGTAGGAATCTTCTAATGCAAGCATAGGATGGCTAGAGGTACAGGCCTGGCATGGTTTTCAAGTGGTGACTGCTTGGTCATTTCTAGGTGTAGACTTGTTTATTTCAGGAGAGCTTCATTCTGACATGTGCTCCTGAGGCTTCTCTCTTCTAAAATTGGTGGAGACCAATTTCTGCCCCAAAGCAGTTGTCATTATTTTAATTACAATTTGTAGAAGTTGGATTCAGAATTGCTTCTTGAAAGAAGTTCCATACATGATCTGCTCTGAATTAGACATCTTGTGGAGATTGCTGGAGGGTCTGGGTCCTCTTTCCAGCTGGGAAGTCACTGTAATGCCTTTTCAGTTCTTCCCCACAACCAGAGGACAGGTTGTTTTTGCTGATAGCTGGCAGAGAGGATTTGGAAAGCAAACAAAGAATAAAAGGAGAGGAAAACTGGGGACAGGTTCCCTGTTAGTTCATCTGTTCAAGTTTTCTGTTCGGTTCAGGTGTCCCTGCTTTTATTTTTACAGCCTCTGCTTGAGGGATAGGTTCTCCAGGCTTTCAGAGAGCTGTGCTGAGGCTGCTCAGGAATGTGCACAAAGCTGGTGCATTGCTGTCTTAAGATTGACAACCATGGGCTGCTTCTGCTGTAGGAAGGGAGAGAAGAAAAAGAGCAGGAATGGAGGTCTAGGATGAATCCAGTGTATTGTCAAGACTCTGCTGAGATTACTTTATTAATGATTTAATTTTGGATAGGAATCAGCAACTTACAAGACAGAAAGAAGTTTCTGGTAGCTGAAAGAAGAGCAGCTTTTAAAACCAGGCTGTTCCTGATTTTCAATACATCTGAAACATCCATTGCTTTATTTGTCTGCTCCAAGCACCTAGAAACCTTTAGGGCCACCACGTGTGCAGTAGTGTGAACTGTGAGCAGGCATTCGCTGTCCCAACACGCTGCCAGGTGTGAGAGACGGTGGGTGGGAGAAGAAACAACATTGTAGGAAGAAGTGATTGATTTGTGTTTAGATTTTAAAGCCAGTTTTAGAGCAGCGTGTGGGAGTTCCCTCTAGTAACCCCAGGGAAGAGTATTCTTGTATTTGGGGTTTGTTAATATCCCAGGAAAAGAAAGGAAGAGTAAAGGACCGTGTACCAAAGGAAAAAAAAATATCAAAATTTCATGTTGAAGAACAAGCAGACAAATCCATAAAAGACAATTTGATCAATACTGCCATCGGTAAATTATGTGGTCTGCACAAACAAAGCCTCAGCTTTATCAGAGAGTGTATTAACTCACGGAGAGAAGGCTGATTTATCACTCTTCATCCAGTAATTGTCAGCCCATAATCCTCTGAAGGGAAAGTGGCCATCGGTGCTTATCACTTGAGGAGAGACACTAGAACAAATAGATGCTGATTTTAGCCTGGCGAAAGCCACTGCCACTTGAGCCCAGCTGGTCTGCCCAAATGCCAGTGGCTGCTGCTTGTTCCTGCTCCCGAGGCTCAGGAGGGCACCTGATTTTGAGCACCCATGGCTGGGAGTAAAGCTCGGGGCTTTGTGGTGGCTTTGGTCTTGTACCTGCTGCAGGTCACCTGTGTGCTTTGCTTGCTGAGGCCTTGCCTTCTTTGGCCTTTGACACAGACAAGAGTCTTCCCCATAAGAGATTTGTGAAGTCTGCAGAATTTTTAATGCTCTATGGGCATCTAAGGGAACTGAGATTTTTTTTTAGACTGCTACAAAGATGAGTGATACAGCATTATTTAGCTGGTCCACAGTATCCCCAGTGATATCCTCAGAAAATAAGCTGACTGGCTGCATAATTTCTGCCCCTCTTGTCTTCCCACAAGATGTAAGTGAATCTTACTGTTATTTTAGTGTGCATTTTACTTTCTTTTCTAGGCTTTGTTCAGTATTCAATGTCAGTGTTCAGTGTCTTCATGAGACAACTATGCAAATGTCAGTTGCTGGTACCTGATTCCTTCAGACTGAAATTTAAAATATGCTCATGAAAATTTTCATAACCTATGTGCCTCCTGGTGCCACATGCAAAGGAAGTGTGACTAAGAAACCTGTTATTAGCAAGTTGTATTTTGTTTGTGCAGTGACATCTAAGGGACATTCTAAGCAACTTATTTTCCCTTGCTGTAAAGGAATATTTCTTACTGCAGCGAGAGGCAAGTCTGTTCTTCAGATCTCAGCCTGTGCAATATTGTCTGGATGAGGAGAAACCTGTGGAGTAGAAATAGTTTTGTTTCTGAGCCATGGAAACTTCACCAGCTGGAAACCTCCTTTGACCCACATGCCCTTTCCCTGCAGTAGCACCACTCCTCTGATCCTGTGTTTGGAGGAGATTGTGTAGCTGTGTTGTCCTAATGCAGGCAGTACCTGGAAGATGGGCTCACCTCTGCATCCGGGTCTGGGGTGTTCAGGAGGAGCTGTGGTTCCTGCATCTTTTTTGCTGCCACCCTGTAGCAGTGGTAATGTTTAGAATTAGCTTCTGCACATGATTCCTAGGGACTTCAGAGGGCAGAAACTTGCCCTTAGAGCTACCAGCACTTTTCATCTTCAAAGGGTATTATAATCATTAATGCATTAATTAGGCATTCTCCCCTTCCATCCTGCAAACTAGGTTTATTAGCTGAATGTATTTATCTTTGGGCAGCTTCTACAAGCAATTGAATGGATAATTTTCCTAATAACTTTAAGAGCAAAGACATGAAAAGGAACAGGGATGATGAGAATAGAGACCAAGGCAAATTAAGCTGTGCTGTGAAGGGAGAGAAACAATTTGATTCTAGGTGTAACTCCACCTACCCCTGTAACTCCCAGCTGACAACTGTGCAGGTTTTCTCGCTTCTGTCTTCCCTAACCTACGTGGAATTGCACATCTATGTAACATTTATGCTAGCACACACAAATGCAGAAAAAAGGAGGTCATGGATGAGTGGACTGCAGAAAAGGAGAACATGAAAATAGCTTGTAATTGCAAGGTGAAGAAAGCCTATGTGAATGTTTGACTTTTACATATGCTTGTATCTTAGGTGTTTTTATGAGACTGGTATAATCTATCAGTGCTTCACAACAGGTGAGCTGCAGGGGTGGAGGAAGGTCATGAAAGACTGTCAGGGAGTTTGAGGTGTTGAATACTGTCATCTAAAGCAAATGAAATCCTGTGTTCCTTCTCCATCTTTATCCTTCAAGCATTGTTGCTCATGCCCTTGCAGCACAAACAAATACACAATGTGTGGTTGCTATCATACACATGCAGTTTTGCTCATACT